CGAATAAATGGTGCATTCTCTATTATTTGAGAGTGAAACGAGCATTGAGAGGGACGCATCTAATTTTTTTTTCGAGATTTCAAATTTATTCTTAATAATTATTTCTAAATTCGTGCATTTGTAAGCAGTTGGGTAATAACTCAGAGTTTAGGTATATGGCCTATCATTTTGAGAAAAATCTGCATTTCTTTTGTATCATCGTAGTACAATTCTACAAGTTCTGCATCATTAGGGTCAAATAATTCTCATTGCCTTCCTCGTTATTCTTAAGTACATAAATGCGATTAATAAAACTCTCAAAATCATTCTTGTGTTGTTGTAAGTTATATCTATATTTGCACTGCGTTTTATAAGCAACAAAGTAAAAATAAAACAGCCTACTGTACTCTGTTTATTCTTTATTTTTTACACCTACAGCCTATTTTAGCATGAACAATTAGCTTTTCTCTGTTTTTATTTTAAATCGAAAATCAAACAAAATTAAACTGCTTATTCTTTTCTGTACTGATCATCTGTTTTTATTCTCTCCCAACTCATTTCTAGAACAATATGGCTTCCAATCTTTTTTGTACTGTATTACTCAAACGGCATAATGAATGTACACAGAAAATTAGGCTCTAATCAGCTCTATTGCATATGCTGTAAATTTCATAAACTTACTCTGGTAGCCTGCTTAGGCAACCAATAATTTAGGTTCATTGTTCATTTGCTCACTACATAAACATCACCGATACTGTGATTATGTTGAGTGCACTCAACTTTCTTACTCCATGCTTTAGAACAGTTGATGGAGAGTAAGACAGTATCTTTTGAACACATCTAATCAATTTCTGCTATTAGACATTATAGTTATTTTGTTTGCTTCTTTATAAAATATGTTTTTACATTCTTACGTGTACATAGGTTTTCTAAGAGCACTGGAGTGAAGTAACATAGTTTTTTATTTGTATTCTTGGTATGGGCTCTATTTGGAGATTCTTAAGATGAATATTTGGAAACTATGTGTCCAGTCATTCGTATATTTTTCCTGAGAAAGTATTCCCTCTAAAATACAAAATTGGTAGGTTACGTTAAGCGAAATGGTCAACCAGCATTCTCTATGATCATTGCTTTTAACTAATTTTAGGTAAAGCGTATTAAGATTTTTGCAAGCTCACTTTCCATAGTGGAAACTCTGGCCTTACTTGTCATAGTAACTCTTACGAAAATGTGTCAGAGCAGAATTGCATGCGAGTTTAACGAAAGCTTACCATTGAAGCATGCACCACTCCTTTTCCTATTCGAATTTGCGTCTCCAATCTTTTCTTGTCGACGTCGTCTAGGAACTGAAGGCACTTTTCAACGGA